TACATACATACATACATACATACATACATACATACATACATACATACATACATACATACATACATACATACATACATACATACATACATAAATACATACATACATACATAAATACATACATACGAAGCACAGATATCTTACAGGCCTTTTTATATATCTATGAAAAGAAGCGCATTAACACGGTGGTAAACCCCTGCAAAAGCCTAACTGGCAACCCAAGTGAGTTTGGCAAAGAGGCGGACTCCCTTGAAGGCATCCATGTTGCCAGATACATGATAATGATCGTATTCACACATAGACGTAATTTGCAGGGGGGATTAGGGGGGTTATGACCCCCCAAAATAATTTGATCCAGTCAATATAACCACCCGCCCCCCATAAAATGACAACATTTGCTCAAACACTATAGAAATCAACTGGTGAAGTAGACAGATGCAACTCTTTTGTTGTCTTTAGGTAACTTTGACTTGTTTTAAAAATGTACAATGTCATGTTTTCTAACATACCCCGCCCCCCCACCCCCCAATGGTAGACTTAAAGTTACGCCCTTGAATTTATACAACAATTATAGGGTCTAAACTATTTTTTAAAAGCCCAAATCTATATGTTTGGCATTTCCGTGCATTGAAAAAAATTATTGACGTTAACAAATCTCATATCATAAAAGGATCCAATCCAACCAGAAAAACTATCTCCTGGTGCGAAATCCGCCAGCGTTCCCACCTCACCATATCCACCTAACTACAAAGTTGGGGAGGGGAAGAGAGAAAGAGCACCTCAGCACACAGGATAGTTTGGGCCAAATTACCACAGTTTTCTGGCTGGAGTACGATAATTCCTCGTTTGCTATCTGGCAACCTTGGCAGGGATTCATCAGGTTACGCACAGCGCTGTTTAGATGGCTCGCAGAAGGCAGTAAGTTGGGGRACGGTGCTGCAGACACTCTGAAGTCATTCAGCAGACTTCTCTCGTCAACATTTAAAACAGAATGGAGCAACAATTTGAGGACATCGACTCGTCTGGCAAATGGCAGAACCTTTACAACGTAAGATTGATCGGGCCTCTTGGTGTTTCTATGACGATCGCCTGCTAACTTAGTTAGCTAGCTAATTTCAGAGACACGTCCGTGGCTGTGTTTGGATACTTTTATCTTTATTGTCCTTGTGTGTGTGTGTTAACTAATGATATTTAATGATTTGTGGTACGTAACGGACAGTGTGAGCAGCTGGTGGGGCACCGGTCAGAAGTACTAGCGGCAGACAGCGCGTTAGCAGCGGCTGACTTCCGTAGCTGGAAAACGTGCAGCGGCGGTGCTTTCAGCAGAGCTCGGTTATCTAGCGGCTGACGCCTGCAGACGTCAGCTGCAGTTTCTGAGAACTCCCCAAGACTTCCAGAGAAACACGCATGTGTTTTTATCACCAACCCTGTTTGACAACCCAACACTCAGCGTGTGTTCCGGCTGACTTTTGGCGGTGACCTTATGGTTACAAGTTAAGACATGAGATGTCCAGCAGCCTGTTTAGGACTTTCAAGGAAATGATCAAACAAACAGTAAATACTGATGTATAAAGAGGTGATCCAGACTATTTCAGCAGTCTTGATAGAAAGCCAAATGTGGCAAAGTTGGGCCAGTGTTTTTGCATCATAACAGGTTAAATTTATTGAAAAGATGTGACAGATTTATAATCATCACAACAGCTAAACATGACTGAAATTCACATCCTTGAAGAGTAAAAACATGATCTTGGTTCAGTGTTAGGAAAAATGAATAAATAAAACAAACAAAAAACAGGCAAGATATAACAGCCACTGTCATAAGTATGATAGGATATTTGATTTGTTGTTAACTATCGATTTTTGGATTTAAAGAGCAGTTATTATGATGAATGTAGCTCTGAATGTATTTAGGATTTTTCAGTTCCCTCTGATTAAAGCTGCAATAGGTTAATTTTGATGTTCAAAAAAATTACAAGTCRTTGATTTGACCCTTTAAAAAAATTCTAATCTGCGTCTAGTTGTGAGTTTTCTGCTCCCTTTCTCTTAGTCAGTAAAACGGTCACAGTTTCATTTTTAAAAGGTGAACTCTTTTCGTCACACCCACACAACAAAGGTAAAGATCTATTAAAAGTCTGTGGTATTAAATACTCCTTTAATAACAGTTTGAACAAAGCAGGGCTCTTCCAGTGAACCTGCACAAATAGACTCAGTGTAATGACGACCTTTCATCTCTGTTTGTGGTATGTACTTTTGATGTTGTCATTGTTGTTGCCGTTCACTCACCTGGTTGTACACGTTACACTGACTTTTTTCCTCTAATGCGTCCCTGTCGCCTGCACTAGGAAATCCGCACCCAGGCTGTTGAGCGTCCGTACGAAGTCGCAAAACTTCCAGTGAACAGAACTCTGAACCGTTACAGAGACGTCAGCCCATGTGAGTGTCAGAACAAAGAGACATGTCCATGTGCATCGCCCATTTTTTTACAGCTGCTCCTCTTCCTCTCATCTGGCTTTAGATGATCACAGTCGAGTAAAACTAGAAAACTCAGAAAACGACTACATCAATGCAAGTTTAGTCTCAGTGACAGAAGCTGGAAGAGCTTACATTCTTTCTCAGGTATGTAGCTACACATCAAGTAAAGACAAAGATTGTACATATAAGACATTTCAGTGTCTGTTTTGAATTTCTTTGTTTACGTCTTATCCTTGTTGTGACAGGGCCCTTTGAGGAACACGTGTGGTCATTTCTGGCTGATGATTTGGGAGCAACGTTCCAAAGCCGTTATAATGCTAAACAGAGTGATAGAAAAAGGATCTGTGAGTACACCTCAGTGCCTGATCAGTGGTTTTTGATTTTACTGCTGAACTCAAAGCGTTTTGCTCACGTGCGTTTCTTTAGATACGTTCGTTTTTCTGTTTCTAGATTGTTTCTTTTTTTGTGTGGTTTAGACGTGAGAAAGAAAATACTTTTTTTTCATGTAATATGTAAAAAAACAAAAAACATAACTGTATTTATCCTGCGGGCAAATATAGAAAAAAATATTTGCACCGTCATGGAGAAGAAAATACAACTTTTTCACTCTGATCCTTTAAGGCATTAAGACATTAAAAATACCCTAAAATAACCCCAGTGAACAACAACACATTAATTCTTATTATTGTGACATCTATGATTCAACACCTCGTAGAATCACCTTGAGCTGTAATACCTTGAAGTAACGTCTGTTTGTATGACCTTATCTGTCTCCTAGTTTTCCACATAYGAAGGATTTTTGTCCCTTTCTTCCAGGAACTTTCCAAAGTGCTCATAGCGGCATCTTGATTCTTTTCCTTTCGGACATTCCTTTGTAGATTTGCAGCTAAACTCTGAATTATTTTTCTGTTATACGACCTGCTTTCAGTCCAGCTTCAATTCTCAGATGGTTGGCCCCACTTTAGACCTTTGAATACTTTAGCCAACTGGGTGAGCGCAACGTGTGTGCATTCACTTGACTCTGGGCACGACACAAAACCCCTTTTTGCCTCTGATGTGAGCCCCACCGGTTTATAAAGCCATCTGAAGCTCTGATTTGACTCTAAAGAATGATTCATTGCTGCACTAATGAGATGATCCATTTTTCTTCCATACATTTTTCAGCATACAACTCCTTCCACAATTTTTGTGCTCTTTCAATATTACATATAACAAACAAAACAACCAGCCCATTAATGCCATGTGTGCTGTGACCTTTGGTTTTTCAGCAACTTGTACTTTTTCAGCTATTTAGCTTTACTGGCACTTTTATCTCATTCGAGATGTTTATTGTATTTTGCAACTTTTACTCTGCTTCTTTCTAATTTCAGCCTTCTTTGACTTGTACTTTTTGTTGMTAATTTGCATTTTATTTTGCTATTTCAACTATATTTCTGCTTTTTCCTGCTAATTTAAGCCATATTTGGATTTATGTTTTTAGCTTTTTTCTAAAAACTCCACCTTATTGCATTACTTTCAACTTCAAACTGCTTAATTCAACAAACATGCTGTTTTTGCTTCTTTGTGCTAATTTCAGATTTTCAGCTACTTTTTAGCTGTTTTATCATGCTTGTTTTTATGCTAATGTGARCTTTTTACTATCCTTTTACCATCTCTCTACTAAATCCAACTATTTTCTGCTATTTTTGGCTACATTTCTGCTCTGTTCAGCTTTTCTCACCCATTTTTGCTATTTTTTTCTACTTTCTGTAAACATCAGCAGTTCAAATTGAACTCGCGTTAACAGTTTTGTTGTTAAACCTTTTCAGCTTCTGCTTCTTCCAGGAAAAAAAATCTTTTCATCAACAATATGCATTCACGCTTGCATTTTTGCAGGAAATTCTCTAGACAGTGTGCATTGCCAATGCAATGCACACTATTGTGATTTGTTTCCCATCCAAGTCATCTCAACTTTGCTATGCTTCTCCTCCTGCATACTTTGTCCTAGAGCTGCCATTGTAATTTATATCTGTAAAGCCCCTGTGCCAAATGATGGCTATGCCTTTTGGTGCCTGTAAAACGTACAGTTTTTGAAATATTAATGTTTAATAAATTATAATGGCAGTCAATGGAGCCTTGTATTGGTCCAATACTGCCCCATGCTGCATCTACACAAWATGGTACTGCACCATAGTTTCATAATATTAACACTCAGTAGTTTAGTGATTACAATACTAATATGATTGTATTTTGATGTTTTACTGTAATATTGTCTTAATACTGCTCTATTGTTGTAATATTATGCAGTTTAGTGTCAATAATTGTATTGGTAATGTGGYCTCTTTCTGCACACATACATACCAACCCCTGCCACCATACTCTGCCACAACTCCATTGGTCTAATGGTCTAGGTCATGGACTTTCATGTGGGAGATCAGGGTTCAAAACCCAGCTAATGCAACTTTGAGAAAAAATCTCATCAAACTTTATATTGTCACACAATTACCTTAATTCTAAACACCTGCTGACGTAACAGGCACAAGCTGGTATAGAAAACACATTTGAACTTGGTCAAAGATCATTCTGCAAGTCCAATGCTGCAGGCAAAGCCATGCTGCAATGACATGCTACGTGGCAATGCACACTTGTTTTTACATCGTAAAAACCCATGTCTAGTTCATATTAGATTTGTAGAGATGTAGTAGTGCAGTGTGTGTGTGTAGATGGGTAAATGAAGGGACACAATATGTTGAAAAAATGCTTTTGAGTTGACTGGTTGGCTAAAACGGTGCTACTTAGGTCCATTTAACAGGTCCAAACCAACCACCAACCCCCACCACTGGGACGTTGGTGTGAAGTTCTAATATCCTGATTAGTTTTCACCAAACTGCTCTCTGCTTGTGGACAAACGTCTTGTGGATCATTACCAATCCACTATGAAGTTTTTCTCTGGGTAACCCTTCCAAACAAGCCATACKTGTTTGGTCTTTTGTAATTGTTTTGTCATGAACATCAACACTCATCCTATTTATAGAACTCTAGTCACGTGAATGATTGTGCAACAACCATATTCGTACAAGCACCCACAGTAGCCTGTAGAAGTATCTATCACCTGTGTTTTAGCTTAAAAAAATTCAGGAAAATTGTATCATATTCCACCGGGAAGACCACAAAAGACAGTGACTGTAACTCATGATACAGTTGTTATAATGGCATTTTAGGGACACTTTTGGTCACTTTTCCCAACCTAAGATTCATGCAGAGAAGTATGATCACGGGATTTGCACAATGTGATGAGCCATGTTTGGCAGAGAAAAAAGGGAAAGTATGGACTTTGTCTACTCCAAACATTTCTTCTGAGGTAAAGGACCACCCTGATGCTACATATTCCTGCACTATAACACTGTTCAGGTACAAGAATGAATCTTATTTTTTCACTATACTGGTAAATTTCCTTCATTGGCATCCATTCTAATGCAGTCTTTGCACAACATTTGTGTCAGGATTACATGCAGCTGTGCAAGCCTAAGAGTTGTATGACCATGTAAGTTTCTTTAAATTATGCAGAAACAGTGGCTTGAGCGATAAATGTACAAAAAAAACTGAGTACACACAAGTAGGGCTGCCACGATTAATCGACGACTAATCGATTATTAAAATAATCTATGACTAATTTAGTAATCGATTAATCGTTTTCTTTTTTTGTTGTTGTTGTTATTCTTTTTTTTTCTCTCCTAACTGCTTTGACAGCTTCCACTGCCACAACTGCCTTTCTGTCCTTGACACACATGCACAGTAGTSGTAACTGGGGTAGGCCGTGGACGTCACAAGACATTATACAGACAGGCTCTGGTATCATGGCTACCTGGCAACGGAGCTCAAAAGTGTGGGATCATTTTAAGAAAATTAAAGACAAACCTGTGCAATATCTGTAAGGCAGAACTTGCCTTCCACAGCAAATATTTTTAGTTAGCATATAGCTAAAATCTAACCATGGTTGTATAATAGCAGCTGCATTCTGGCGTGATAAGCTGTATGTTTTATATTCAATGAACGAATGATCCGATTAGTCGACCAATCGAAAAAATAATCGGTGATTAATCGATTATAAAAATAATCGTTTGTGGCAGCTTTACACACAAGCTATATGCAGCTATATGCAAGCAGACACCAGTACACGCCAAACTTTTCAGCAATTCCACCTGCTTTCCAGCCTGTCGAAGACTCGACATTCCAGTACTGTTTGGTGTTTCCCTAAAGTCAGACGTGCCAAACTTTGCACCMGGAAGATAACAGAACTGAAGCTATGTTGTTTGTATGAACATTCGGGTTACTCGTGAGAGAGCCGTGGATTATACGTGTAAGGAGAATGCATGGCGTCATGAGTGGCCATTGCCATTGGAACTTGTAGAGTCGGAGATGGAGCTCCATCTTTCCTTCTTGCTCAACTTGCTGAACTATTTTTGCGCTTGTTTTTACCTGCAAATAATCTTTGTCTCAATAGAAAGGTGGACTCTAAACTGTTTATAAACATCCTTTTATAATCTTCAGAGGGATTAATAGTAACCACTGTTTCTCTGTATTGTGGAGAGGAGGAGCTCCAGAGGAGTAAATTGTCAAAACATCTGTCTTTACAGAGGTGCTCACAAATACTGATTAGATAACCAGTACATTTGATCAGCACCCAATAAATGGTGTTTACTTAAAAAAAAAATTAGTCTGCTCATCTTTTTCTTCCCCAAACTGCCTCTGTATTTGGGCTTTTTTAAACAAAAAAACACATGGTCATGTACTAAGACGTAAAATTAAAACAGAGGTCCTTTTTTTTACTATAACTTAACATCTTCCTTCCATCCATTCTTGTTAACCCTGATAAAACAGGACCTGCCTAAAAACTGAGTGAATTYTTTGTCTCACCAGGAAAAGTGTGCACAGTACTGGCCCACCTCAGAGGAGCTCCAGATGTCGTTCACAGACACAGGCTTTGTTGTGAGACTGCTGTCAGAGGAGGACCAGTCCCAGTACACCATCAGACTGTTAGAGCTCGAGAACACAAAGGTGAGCCTAGGATGGAACATGTTGACTATTTGTTTCCAAGTCAGGGACTAAAATGTTACGTTGTGTTATACAAGTGTTGTGTATTYAATTAAGACCAGTTCAGTATTTTCCAAGAAAATAATGTCTCGTTTTATTTCTTCTAACTGACCTTCAGGCAGCAGATAATTTAATGTTTTTTTGTTGTTGTACTACAATCAAAGTTAACAACTGAACCAGTTATCCTGAAAGTCAAAGCTGTCAGTATCACAAATGTAGCTCAATGTTAACTTGGCTAGGATCTCTAAAGCAACAGAGGCTGAACTTAAAACCTGAAGAAATAATAGCAATAAGGTTTTGGCTGTTTGGATGTGCAGTTTACTTAAAGAGCCATACTGTGATGTAACTTTACTATGATAAATGGAATTTAAAAATGATCAAATATTAAGAATAAATAATGTTAAATGACTGCATGTAGTGCTGGGAGGCATGACCCAAATTTTATCACAGTATTTTCAACAATTAAATGGTATTACACCGTCAGCTGAAGTTACACAGAAACTATTTCTTGACTTTTTTCTTTTATTGTACCTCCTGTTCCCTCCTCTACATGTCTTTTCTTCTTTGCCTGGTTGTAGACAGTCACGCATTTTAGTCTGGTCATGAAGGAGGAGGGTTGAACAAAGATCATTATCGTCTATAGTTTTATGTTATTTATTAAAGCTCAACAGGACAGTTCAGCCTCCGTGCACCTGTCAACTCAACCCCACAAAAAACCACTTCCCCAGGAAGTCCCCCCAGGCTTTACACGATAGAAGCACATCTCCATGTGGCAAATTTACATTGAGTCTGAAATCTATCAGTGTGCGTCACTGAAGAGTTGAATACTATATTCATGGTGGAAATGGCAGAGTTTTTTTTTTTTACATCAGTTGCATCAGTTGATATAAGCAGCAAAATCTCCACCTTTGAGAAGGGAAGCTGCTCCACAATAACGTTAGCTTGCTAAAGCACATAGTGGTGCTGTAAAGAAAAGTGTCCCCTGTGAAACGGTTCACTGGCGGGCGCAACGTAACATTCGGAACATGTTCAGGCTTTTTAAACCAGAATGTCGTATTCAGAAAATTCATATCATCATAACAAAAATAAAAACCGTTTTTTGGTACGAACCAGTATACCGCCCAGCACTAACTACATGAGTTAAAATCCATCCATCCATTTATCAAAATCCTGTAAAAATAACCCATTTGTTTGAAACGGCCATTTAAGTGAGAAATCCATAAGTAAAGGTAGAGCTGGGCGGTATGACCTCAAATTCATATCATGGTATAAATTGAATCCCATCATGGTAACGGTATAAATCGCGGTAGAAAATTATCACAAAAAGCAAAGATAATGTAATTTTTAGAGCTTTTTTTTTTTTGCAGAAAACTGTAATCATAATCAAAGCCAGTATTTTTGCTGTAGTGCAAATGAACATAACAGAAGTACAAAAGAAAGTTTTATCTATATTGCAAAACGGTTTCAACAACAAACAAAAACATTTCTCAAATTTTCAACAATATCAAAATAAAGTGGACGTTACAACCAGTACTTCAAGTAAAATTAGTCATTTAGACATAAAAACATTCTATGTTGGCATAAGTTGCCTAAAACGTTATAGTGTTACAGGACCTGAAGGGGCTTAAGTTTCACATAGCCCTAGTCATAAAACAATTTCAGATAACTGGAATGTAAGTGTGGTGAAGCCAAATAAATATAACATCTGCTTGCCATACAATGAGCCTCTGCCTGTTGAACTGACCTGCTACTCTGCTGCACCAYCATCTTAATCATCATCAGAGCAGAAGCCGACTTTACATTAACAAGATGGATTTCTGACTGAACGAACGTCCACATCTTTTTTTTATCCTCTCTGTAACAATACATAAAAAACAAGTTTTTTTCTCCGACAACTTGGTTGTGAAAAAACTACGGCTGTTAAAACTTCGCTCTGCGCGACGTGCAGCGGTAGAGAGGGAGGAAATGATCCGACATAACTTTTCTACAGCTGGAGTGGGGAATTTTGAGGATTTATTCTCTCTATACGTGTTTTAAAACACTATAATTTCTTCATTATATTTTGAACTCCTCCTGCTCAGTTGYCTCTRCACTCGCAGCCATGTTGACACAGGTGCGATGACGTAATGACRACAGGACGGTAGAGGGTAAATTTCTACCGTAGTCCAACTTCATAYYGTTTCAACCGTCTACTGCATATACCGCGCAGCCCTAAGTAAAGGTATTAAAAATGTAGTAAAYGAAATTAGCAAAATTTATGGCCATTAAAAAGTGCAGTAAAATGCCTTATCTGATGAGGTTTTTTTTTGAACAATTACCCAACCATACATTTTTATCCCCAGTCCATCTCCTAAAAATCTCTCTGTGTATCAATGAAATCACTTTTTGTCTTGGATAAGGGTTAAATAGCAAATAATTGTACATGTTTTTTCTTTTTTTTTCTTAACCTTAACAGTGCCTTTATTGTAATGTTTTTGTTCAAACCTCTTTGTTCACGCAGCAGGTTGCTATTGTCAACAAAATGTCAGGTTCWTTGGGGTATTCTGAGCATAAGAAGTCTCAAATGAAGCATTGAGCCTGAAAAGTTCAGTCTGAGGCAACAAAGATGAAAACCACCTTTTATAGTAGCTGCTCACTCTGAGTGGACCTTAGGGGTAACACACAAATGAACAAAACCCTGTTTGCACGTCGCTTCAGTAACGTTATCACATCTTGTGTTTGTTTTAGACAGGAGAGTCGAGAAAGATCTACCACTTTCACTACACCACGTGGCCTGACTTTGGCGTGCCTGAATCTCCTGCCTCCTTCCTCAAATTCCTCTTCAAGGTCCGGGAGTCTGGCTCGCTGGGCCCGGAACACGGGCCCTCGGTGGTGCACTGCAGCGCTGGAATCGGACGTTCGGGGACCTTCGCCTTGGTGGACACCTGTTTGGTCTTGGTAATAAGGGGAAGGGCTGGTGTTGGCACTAAACACAGAGTTAAACAGAAAAGTTGTTTAAGAGTTGAAACTTTTTTTCAAGAGTTTTGTGTTTTGGTTTAATGGTAGGGTGGGAGGTTGACACTAAGATTATATCTGAGTGTACTGATAACAGAAAAGAGAATTACTGCTGTTGGATTTTCTTGTTTTTTTCCACCATCTCTGCATGCTGTGTTTAGCTTGTGCCATTAGTCACACAAGGTATGTGTGAGTTACCTGGAAACTAATCCCATGTTTCAGACGTGCTTCCTAAATTCCTCCTCACGTTGTCCGGTTTAATGCTGTTGTGTTTTCACGTGAAACTTTTACTCCGCCGTCTTTTCCACGACTTGCTTGTAAAAAATGTTTTAAAACCCAGTAGGAATATTCCAGGTAGAATAAAGGTTAAAAAACAAACAAAAACACGTGAATCAAAATTTTAGGAAACGGAGGAGCTAGCATGCACAGATTCGTGATATTGAGTTATGCTGTCCTCAGAGTAGGTGTTGTGAATGACTCTCAATTACTACCAGGCCATATTTATGTTTGTGTTTTATTTATTTTTTAATTAATAAATGTGCAGAATATTGTGTAGAAACAAAACCAAAAAATTTAAAATGTAATCATCGCGGGTTGTTGACTAACAGTYAGCATGGATGCTAGCTTTGTAGAATCAAAAAGGTAATGTGATTGTGTTTATCACTGGAAATTTACACACAAATCACATTCTGCAGGGTTAAACATGGTTTTACTGCAACATGTTTCCACTTGAACAGCTACGGTAGCTCTAATAGGATAAACAGCACCAAGCAGCAACTAATCTGGTGGCTCTCGTAAGTTAACTAAATTGATTTTAGACTTTTGTAAATTGATTCAGAATCACGCARCCTCTAAAAGTAGATTTTATCTTCTACTCAAAGACTAAAAGAGACAATTTTTTTTGATGTGATAAGCTCAACAGAGTGAAGCATGAATCAGTTTGCATCTTGGTTTTATAGCAAGCACAAACATCCAGAGAACATGAATCATCAGTTACAGCATGAATAGTGACATTTATTTTTCCTGTTTAGTCTCAGCTGTTTGAAGGGTGGAGTTTTTTTTTATTATCAAAGAATATCCTTTGCTTCCTCACACCATACAGGTTTAGCTGCCTTTGAGTCATCAGAACTGTTTGAGAGGCGTTTGGTTCTGTCAGTTAAATCTCATCCGATTACACTCTGCAGTTCAAAATATACACAGACTGCTCATCCTGACAGACAACGTATTTAAATAAGTTTATTTTGTTTTAACTCCAAATGAGCCTTACATTAATTTTACTTTAATAATAACCACATTACACAACTCTAACACCGTGACCTGAAGACACATGGTGTGTAATGTCCTGTTAGGCAATCTGATGTGACTCAGTATGAAGTGAAAACACTGGCTTAACTGCTCAATCTTACCATTTGTGTTTTCTAAACATGTAAATCTGTTTTTTTTTTTTTTAGATGGACAAGAGGAAGAGCCCGTCATCAGTGGACGTGCAGAAGGTGCTATTAGGCATGAGAGAATATCGCATGGGCCTGATCCAGACCTCGGACCAGCTGCGCTTTTCTTACATGGCCATCATGGAGGGAGCCAAGCTCATCCTGACAGACAACTCAGAACCACAGGTAGCTCAGCTGGATTACTAACAATGACAGGCTGATGCTCAGTTTGTTAAAACTGAGTTTAGTTTGTGTTGGAGATCTGAAACTAGCTGTGTTAACCATCTGCATTTTTTAATGCACATTTTGAAGTATYGCATTAGAAAAGGTGAATGGAAACAGCACGATTCAAAAAAAAAAACTTCCTCTATTTCGCAAAAATGTTTATGMGCTCGCTGGAGGTGGTTTTTGGGTTTTTCGAAAAAGAGTTAATGCCCAAAAGGGAAGGTGGAAACAAGTTTGCTGAATAAGTTCTGATGTAGCGAACATTTACCTCACAWGGTTGATCAGCTGTTCCCGCTGTTTGTCTGGTACCGGTGTTACACCATATTTTGTGACTGTCATATATTGTGACCAGAGGGGGCGATGTTGCGTTTCTACAACAGAACTTGGCAAAAGATAAGATAAGATAAGATAAGATAAAACTTTATTGATCCCACAGTGGGGAAATTTGCACATCACTGCAGCTTAATACAGGAGAGGCTGAGAAGAATAATGAAAGATAAATAAAAGATAAAAAACAAAACAAAAATGGCCACAAAAAAGAACATGACACGCCAAAAGTGTAAGCCAGAGGCTGAAGACATACAAAAAAAACCAAACAAACTGTTGACTGTTACACATGGTCACAGAATATGACCGCTGTATATTGTGGCTTCACTGTAGCTAAGGAAATGGTAAAAATATTTATTCAAAAACTATTTCTGTTAATTGTTTACATCCTCTAGTGTCAGAAAAAYAACTTTTGATCACCGACATGGTTACGGTTATTGAATTAGTACAGGGTCACATAATATGACTGCTATTAATCATAAATTTTGACTTGACTGTAGCTTGGTAAATAATAAAAATATTTATTCATAAACTGATTCTACTCATTGTTTACCCTAATGTCAGAAAAATAACTTCTGATCACTGGCATGTTGGCTATTACTATTACTACTAMTATTATTACTACTGTAAATGACAACAGCTGTCATATTATGTGACCTTGTACTAATTTAATGACAGTCAACATGAAGAGGATTGCATTTCTTTCTCTACATCTACAGACAGCATGTAACATCACCAAAACTAGTTGTTGACAGAATAATTACAACTTTCCCGATAGTAGCAACACGTTCCTGATAAATTTTCTCCATTGTCCTGAGATGTGTGGTCCCTGTGAGTTTGCGACTTCTACTTCCTGTTTACTACAGGCATGTGTCTGAGCTGTGTGAAGCTGACACCCCACCCACACAAAAAATCCAAACAAGTAAGCGGATTGGTTAGTGCTTCGTTTGTGCAGGTTTGTGCAGCTAAAATGAGCGTTTGTGCTGTTGTAGTTTTTGAGATATTAAGCATTATGTCTTTAGCTCATTATGACGTCACCATCCCCCCAGCAACCTCTGAAGTTAACCGAAACAGTTTACTTTTTTTGTGCTTCGTTTGTGCAGCTTAGTGCAGTAGAAATGAGCGTTTGTGCTGTTACAGTTTTGGAGATATTAAAAGTTTTTACTTTAACGCGATGACATCATCGTCCCCCCAGCACGCTCCGAAATGGTGACGTCATCGGCCGAATTTATAACTGCTAATATCTCGAAAACAAARGCTGCACAAACGACAGTTTTTACTGCACAAACCTGCACAAACGGAGCACTAACGACCTAGCCCATTTTGGTTAGGTTTTGGAGCGAKATGGGGTGATGGTTAACTCTGGATGACCAAAAAATATAATATTTAATATCTCGGAAACCAAAACAGCACAAACGACACTTTCAACGGCACAAACCTGCACAAACGGAGCACTAACGATTCTGACTATTTGATGGCTTTTTTGACGTGGGTGGGGTGTCAGCTTCACACAGCTATGTGTCTGACGTAATTAAACTTTGCGTAGCCTGGTTGATTCGCTTCAAGCCAGTTGATGGAAACACATCTGATTCACATTTCTTGTTTGTTTTTTTTTTCCTTTTTGCGAAATTTTGAAAAATTTGCTCAAAATTCGAATTTAAATTGGATGGAAACATGGATACAGTTCAGCGTAGTTATTACCAGTTGTAAATGAAAAGGTCAAAAGTGATTTTGCCCGTTTATTTGTACCGTTTACAAAATACCGTATCTCCTAATTCACCGACTGGTCTTTATTGAAATTTTTAGAACATAATCATCAGTACGTCTACAACTTATTAACCTTAAAGGAGACATGGTGATTTTAAATCTTTCTTTTTCACATTAAAATCCTTCACTTGGGGTCTATATAAAGTGGAACTGTAATGCTTTGGTCTGAATTCCTCCTTACTGTAAATCAACAAGCCCCTCTGAGGTGTGGTGTGTCTCAGATCAGCTTGTTTTGAGGCTGTCTCTTTAAATCCAAACTAGGCGCTTCACACCCCGCCCCCTCCAGCTTCCAGACCAGTTCATTCCAGTTTGATAGAGGAGTTTATGACTATATAGCTGTGCAGAAACCTTTTATTTACAAATTAATTAAAAGATGTCAACAAGGGAGGGCTTGTCCATCCAGCCTGACACGTTGGAGCCAGAGGAGAATGAAGACCACCAAACTGTAGTTGTTAAATCCAGACCTTATTTAGAAGTTCTTTCACAAATAATTTGACGCTTTAGTTCAGAAAACGTCATAGAAAACAAAGAAAAGTCACTGCAAAAAATGTCCACCAAACCAAGTTTTAAAATCTTATATCCAGACAAAAAGTCGTTTTGCTCTTGTTTTGAGACAGATTTACTGAACAAGAACTGATTGTGTAAGAATAATAATCTTGTTTTCAGAATGTGTAAGATTATTTGTCTTGTTAGTCTGAAAATTTGACTCAAATTAAGTCAAAAGATTTCTGCCAATGAAGTAAGAAAATTTAACTTGGTAAGATTCTTGAAATAAGAAAAAATTGAATCAAATCCAATATTTCAAGAGTCTTACCAAGTAAAATTTTCTTACTCCATTGGCAGAAATTTTTTGACTTAATTTGAGTCAAATTTTCAGACTAACAAGACAAATAATCTTACACATTCTGAAAACAAGATTATTATTATTCTTACACARTCAGTTCTTGTTTAGTAAATCAGTCTCAAAAAAAGATCAAAAAGACTTTTTGTCTGGATATAAGATTTTGCAACTTGGTTAGGTGGACAGTTTTTGCAGTGCTGAACGGGTTAAAAAATATGACCCAAATAGTATATAAAGATATCTTTGCAGCACCAGGAGAAACTACGTGTATTTAACTTTTCTGTGTCCTAGAGACTCCAAGTACACCACAAAATCTATTCAACAACTAAATAAGTGGATTTTGTATGATATGATTTTGCATCTTTAATTGGCATATGATATGCCAATTCAAGATGGCCGCCACTGCGAAAGCAAAACCAGCAGTACAAAAATGACTGAGTTTTATAGATGCTGAGCTAAAATCTGGTGTTGCAGGAGCTGAGCGTCATCCTCAACATTTGCTCTGAGCACCAACTGTTGCCTCAAAACTCTTGGTTTAATAGTAGCTGAACATTGCCCCACATACTTTAACAAGTTGCTGCAATTTCAAGCTTTCAGTTTTATTGGGGAACTTTCATCATGAGGAGCCAAACATGTTGAGGCTTGAGATACAAAATCAGCTGGCACTCTATTTTTATTTTCTTTGCTCAAATCAGAAAAGTTAGACAGTTCATTTAAAGGAGTTTAAATGTTTTCTTTAAAAAATGTATTTTACACACGGCATTGCTAGAAATGTAAAATCCTATATTCTACTTACTTATTAACTAATTCTACAAAAATGCAGATACATTCAGAAAAAATTAAACTAAATGGTTGTGGTGGTAAATATTTCTTTAAAAACAGGTGAAACTGAAAAATGGTTGTGCCTATGCATTTAGCCCCCAAGACTCATCACCTTTTTAAACAGTTTCAGCATCAAGTTTCTTCAGGTCTTTATAATCTTGGTCCGTCTTCAGGTATTTTTGATMATTTGTCATGACCAAACTGTTGCGTCTCCTTCAGGTTGAATGGATACTGTTTGCACATATTTTTTAAGGATTTTCTGTTCGACTGGTATGGATTTTGACTGGACCATTCCAGAACACAGTTCCTCGTGTGTTTATGGTCATTGTCCTCCTGGAAGGTGAACCTCTTACTCAGATTTGGAACTCTGGAAGAGTCCAAGAAGTTCCCCAATTTTTTTTTCATTTATCTTTCCTCCAACTCTGATCAGTTTCTCAGTCCCTACTGATGAAAAACATCCTCACATCATGACGCTGCCACCACCGTGCTTCACTGTAGGGACAGTGTTCTCAGCAGGCAGTGGTGGGAGATTTGTCTTAGACATTATGTCGTCCTTAATGACCAAAACCTCAATTTTAGACTCCTTGGGCCTCAGCACCTTCTTCCAGTTCAGAGGGAAGAAATTCAATCAGTCCAACTTTGTTACCTTTAATCTGTCTTCTTCCTGATGTTCTTCCATGAAGCCCAGCTCTATGCAGCTTCCAATGGTCCTACAGAAAGACAGCAGAAGAGCTGCAGCTCCATCAGGCTAAACTTTGTCATGTTTCTCTGATTAATGCCCTCTTTGTTCAGTTTGTCTTGGCAGGTTTTCTGCAAAGGTATAATTTTTTCATAATATTGAATTTAATAGAAGTCTCTGGGACATTTTTTAAACACCAACCCTGATCTGTTTCTCTGGTCTGTATGGAGAGTTCCTTGGTCTTCATGATGTCTCTTGATTGGTAGTAGCCCTAAGCCGGTGTTGTATTGGTGTTTGTTGTGGAGGCTGGTACAACAGGTGTGTAGCATTTAACCGGTTTAATTTGTTTGATTCTTAGATTGCTCACAGGTGAATCTTATTTAACTAATTATGTGACCTCTGAGGGCAATGGTTGAGGCTTTAATGCAAATGGGTTGAATACATATTGGACACACCACTTTCCAGTTTAGTTTTTTATTTTATTATTTAAAATAAATCCCCATTTGACTTGATTATTATGAAGTATTTAGAATAATGACTTACAATCAAATTAAACACCCCTGGTAGTAAAGCAACAAAATTGAGAGACTTCCAAGAGTACTAAATACTTTTGAATGACATCATATTTTCCTTTAACCTGTTGAGCCTGATGCCACCGGTACTGGGGGCAAACCATCATTTCCCATTTTTTTTATTTCTTTTAACTTCTGTTAAACTAAGATCTGTCAGTTGAACCTGGACATGTTTGGTATCAATAKAAAGCTAAGAATCTTGGCTAAAAGCTCATTGAAACTGTTTTTACGTTACAACAAATCTGTAAAGGAAAATGTTTTGACATTTGTTTTTAAAGCAAGCCAAAACAGATACCAAAATATGTTGTGAAGTGTGTTGAAAGAAAGTTTTTTTACTTGATTTTGAGGGTATGTGATCCAACTGAAGTCAAATATAATTTCTCATTATTTCATATAATATATATGTGACAAATAAATGTTTGGATCATTTTTCACAAGAACAAACATTCAATAACAAGTCTTTTCAGGTAGGTAAGAAAAAATAAATAACTTGTGCAATAAAAACTTAACATTTATTAATGGTACTATCATGGTCTGTCCTCTGCAGAATGACAAAATGCAAAATTATTTCTTTACTAAAGCCTGTGTAACTTTGCTCCAGTTAATTTTAGCAGCTTGAATCTTTGCACAGGTAATGTCCACAAGTGGATTTATAGTTTCCAAGAGTTTTTAGCCTTCTTCATTATGGTTTTAAATAGGTTATATACTGTCTAATGAAAAAATTATTCAGACGGGAGGGAAAAAAAAATAAAAAATATGTCCTGTCTTCAATATGTCTAAAGCCACAGCAGCTGTTTTAATAGTTACACTTCTAACAGAAGCTCCCAATTGTTAGCTTTATTTTGATACCAAGAATATTTAAGTAGAGCTTGTAAATGCTGACATACACTCATTTACACTCAATTACATTTCAGCATGGTATTTCAMGTAAAAAYATCAAGAAAACTCCATCCTGTTKTAAGAAAAATAAGTACTGTTACTGACTGTTGTCCGTCAGGTTATATGGCTAAAGGTGATTTTGACCCAAGGGCAGCAGGAGGGTTAAAAACATTTCTGGTTCCCATAAATCCCAACAACCTACCAGTATAGTGACAATCAGATTCTATAGTACCGTCTTTCATACATTTCATCATCATGCTTCTTTAAACAGAAGATATCAGGAGACAGTTTAGTTTGTTTCTATCAGGTGTAAACGGCAGCTTCAGACCTGAATTCACTGACATCTTTTCTAAGACCAGGATCATAATGGGACCGTTTTTCTAATTTAACAAATGAGCCTTTTCTTTCCAGCTTTATGACTTTCATATTGAGCATAATTGTAAGTTTTAAACAATTATCCAGGGCTTTSTTTTGTTCTGCAAAAACTGACCAGRGTTAGATTTAGAATTAGAGCTTTGGGACAAACTTGAGCTATTTTTGACCGAGGAGCAGCTTTTTTGCAATATGTGGAAATCTGATTTTTGTTCCACACTTTTCTATTCATTATCTGAACAAAATCATAAGACAGAAACAGATTCTTTCATGTCACATTTAGGCAAGGATTATTTAAAATCCCTTATGTTTAGGTCTAAATCAGGATATTTTTTTCTTCTTCAATGAGTATGAGTTGTTCATTTTCCACATTTCCCACTTTTTGAAACTACAAACTTTGGTACATTAAATTGACTACATTAGTTCCATGAATAATGTGCTTATTCAGCAATAATTCAGCAATATAGAAAGGAAATRTGTTTCTTAATTGTTTTTTTCTTATCAACATGTTTAACATGAAATATTAATGTAATTTTCTTTACACTTATATATTGCTGAGATATTTTTTGTGTATATAATTAACCTGCTGAGTTTGTCTGTAAAGGTGTAAAAGCATTTCTTAAAGGKGACATATCACCTGCTCTCCTCATGCCAGAGTTTTAGACTGAGATCATCTCCAATGTTGTTTTTTTTATTAGCCTTGCAACTAGACAATAAACACAACCAACAGAAAAYGTTCAGCTTGAAAAGGATGTCGCTCTTTTGTCCCCTACAACAGAACACGTTTATAGGCCTGTCCAGAGATGTCTCTGAGCCAGATTTGCCCCCTCCACCACCCCCACCCAGACCTCATCTAAATGACAGCAGACCCAATGGACCATGCCTGGAGCCACAGGCAGTCACAGGAGACCACCACTCAACCAAAGAGACAGACAGTCAGGACCACCTTGGGAAGGAAAACTCTGTGCGGTAAGTGACAGCTCAGCAACTCTTACAACATAGAAAGTTTGTCTGTTTATAAAAACTCAAATCGAATTAGTTTATTTAGCACATTTAAAAACAAGTCAGTTCGGCCAATTAGGGCAGGGGTCCCCAAAGTTTTTCCTGTGAGGGCCACATAACGTTTCCCTTCTCTGATGGGGGGCCGGGGTCAGTTTGTAACAGAAAAAGTGTGACAGTCGCAGGGGTGCCTTAATGTAAACATGTATTGTTTTCCAGAAGCCAGGAAATAAATAATAATACTATTAATGAAATAAACAACAGTATTTATGAAATAAATAATAACCAAATAAACATTTCTGGGATCTTTGCAGAAAAGAAAGTCAGGAAATAAATACAACGATCTGTGAAATAAATAATAACCAAAAACCCAGAGAGGAAGAGGAAGATGCCCTTCATTTCTGTGACTCGGGACTGGCAGCGCACATTATTTTCCATATTTGACCAGTTTTTTTACACAATGAAGGGAAAATATGAAGGCCGTCTGTCATTTTGACAGGTTTCAATTAATACCCCTGACCTCTTAAGTCTGGAAGACTTAATAAATAAGCCAGGTGAGGTGGTGAAAAAAAAATTAACGAGGTTTCACAAGACTGCTCTGTGGCATCACACTCAGAGACATTTTCAGCTTTACGCATGGAGTAGGTCTGCTTTACGGAGGTCTTATTTAATCTAAAATAAATAAAAGATTCCACCTGATCATCATCTCAGATCTAGACATCATACTGAATGCATCTCCAGGAGCTGACAGCGCATTGAAGAGGACAGGAGGRGCACGTCTGTGAGGCGCAGCGGGAGCACATGCTGCGGGATTTCCTCCTGTTTTGGGATTTGTAAATAAAGTCTTGCTGACTTCTGATCAACTGGAGAAGCTTTTTTCTGATTTTAAAACTTTGGCTAAAGTGGTGTTGTTACTCCAGCAGTGTCACAGCAGAGCACGGGTTTAGTCTTCACAACCACTGGCTCCTGCAGATGTAGACTCACTGTGCATAACTTGAGATTTTCCTTAGAGTTTTTTAATTATTAGACTTTTTGTTGCATAAATCAAATCCATGTTCTGTTTCTGTTTTTATTTAATAATATTTTTAACACAGTGGCAGCGGCGCGTTGTGATTACCAGCTGACTGCATCTCTGCCTTCATGCCTTCCTCTCTTCTCTCGTCCTCCTACAAAGGAGGCAGAAACAGAAATAATGAGGCATAATCTAATGTTGCAAACTGCAGCCACWTAATAACGCTTGTAGATTTTTTATTTATTTATTTTGTTTTGTTTTTTGTTTAACTTTTTGTACGGTAACTGAGTCACAAGCGGGRCATTGTGTGTGCGTCACATTGTGCGCGTTGGGCCTGGTAAAAAAAAAGTAAAATAGACTGTACTTATATAGTGCTTTTCTATCCATCCAGGATACTCAAAGCTCTTCACACTACAATCTGTGTCCTCATTTACCCATTCACACAGCACTCTGTTAGGTCTCTACAAAGCTAACATGTACAATCATCTATGGAGACTAATCAGTGCCAATCACATTCATACACTGATGGGACACACATCAGAGGCATTAGGGGTGAAGTGTTTTGCCTAAGGACACGACAACTGAAGCAGCTGGACAGGGGATCGAACCGGTGACCTTCCGGTTCCAGGACGACTCCCCTAACCACTCTGCCACAGCCGCCCCGAGCGGTGTGGGACAGATGTGCTGCTTTTCAGCACCGTGCGCATCGCGCTCATGTGGCCTGTAGTGTGAGGTGCACTGATGAGATTTTCTCCGATAAAATAGTCAAGGATTCATGGGGCAGACTTAAAGATCATAATGCCTCTCTGGCATTGTTCAGGGGGCCGGGCCAAATGTGGAGGCGGGCCGTAGTTTGGGGACCACTGAATTAGGGTTTTCACAAACTCCGCCCACACCCAAGAACCTCTCCCTATTTTACTGCAGCAGGCTCCTACTTGCAGTTAGAAGCTAGAACTGATRGGACCAAATCACCTCGGTGATCATTCTGGAACTCAGGATAAATTAAAGCAAACTAAAGGATCTGGAAAAATAGTCATTTTATTCTCTACCTGAAACTCTATTATAGTTAACAAGGCATGTAGTGCAGATCTCCTCAGAAACTCCTGTCACTGTAGTACACGTCATGGCATGGGGTTCTTCCTGCCAGGGTCTGTATGCTAGAGTCTTTATCTTAAAGAAAAAAAACTCATAATTTCTTGTTTTGTTTATTCCTTGTATGTAATCATGTTTTGCCGTGGTGGTTTTTTTGCTTAAGATCAAAATTCTCTCTATTTTCCCACCCCCATTTGATATTTCAGTGTGAGGAAAAGACACCGTGAGGAGAGAAATGCCATCACCACACAGAAGGTCCAGCAAATAAAACAAAAACTGAGTGACTCAGAGAAGAAGCAAGAGAAGTGGCGGTACTGGAGGCCCATTTTGCTAAACGTCGGTGCTGGAGCAGTCCTGGTCGTCGGCCTGTTGTGCTGGATGTACGTTCATTAACGCACTCTGGCTCCCTAAAAACTGACTCCCAATTTTGCACCGGCACCTGGGATTAGGTACTTCCTCTCTTAGTAGACGTAGATGGTAAAATGTGCATAACTGTGGATATTTATTACTTAAGGTCAAAATGCAGGAGTGCTAGATCAAATGAGTGTGTGTATATTTTTCTGTAAGATCTTAAAAATAGTAACATCTCAGGATCCTGGTGCCAGCACGATGATTTTCCCCTCTTTCTTTACACTGTTGATGAATGTACTGTGTCACAGTAAATAATGCTTTGAAAGAAATGACTAAAGGTAGAGTACAAAGAAAACAATTCCTGACAGATTTATTTTTGCATTCTTTATTTGTAATTGTCAAATGTGTGTTTCTCATTTATGGATACATTTTACATTTCAAYGTTACTTAGAATGATGTCCATCCTACGTTTAAAAAAAATGTAGGAAAACTCCAGAGCCAAGCGGCCAACTACGAGATTTTTTTTGTTTTAATCTAAGGAATGCATGCTTTTACTGGTTCTCCAGATCACCAACAGTTCTTCCATTCATACTCAGTAGGGCATTTTAGTGTTCTTTTTACGTTTTCTCTTTTATTAACTCTGAAGATGAGTTCTGGTTGTCACTGAAATTATACAAACTGCCGAGTTCCTTGCCGATTAGTGCATGTGTTGCCCACTGGATGGGTTCATGTTTTTCCTGCTGTTGTTTTGTTGTTGAGGAAACCAAAGCAAAGCTGTTTGTTTTAGGAAGATAACAAGAACATGTTGTTAATGACAAAGCCTTGTATACTCCCATTAAGTGGAATGTATTTTCTCTTGAATAACTCACGTGTTACTAAATGAAACTACTCTTGGTACCTTTGATACTTTTGTTGTGTGCTGCTTTAATTTTTACTTGTAGCATTGCACAATTGCTTTTCAACCAGCAGGGACAATCCAGTCTAAAGTTATAAAAGTGCAAAATAGACATTAGAGCAGAGCACCTTGTAATAAAGAAGAACTTAAATGTAATCATATTTACATACTGTAATTTAGAGTTTGAAAGAACTGAGTGAGTGAGTGAGTTAGTGTTTCAGGGTTTTTATCAGTATCACTACAGAAGACATGAGGGTCCCACCAGAGTAAACTGCAGTGACYGAGCTGTAGAATGCAACTGAATGATGGCATTTACTGACACCTGAGATAAATGCCTTATACTTATTTCCATACCCCAGAAGACATGTTAACTCGTTCTTGTTGTCTGTGTTACATTTTAGGGGAAACGTTTACTCTGCAGAGATGAAGTTTGTAAAAAAAAAAAGTCATTTAGATATACAGTACATGCACMAAACGTCTCGCATAATTTGTGTGTAGGGAGCTCGTTCCATTCCTTCACTGCTGTGCAGTTAGTCATTTTATTTTGTTAGTGAGTAAATCAATGCATTCAGACTGGAGTCCAGGAACTGTTGCAGTATTTTAAGGTGGACGTATCYGGCACAACCTGGGCAAATCTTCCTTTGTTGACATCTTTTAATTATTCTGTAAATAAACTGTTTCTGTGCTGCTATACAGTCATAAACCCCTCTATCAAACTGGAATGGACTGCTCTGTAACCTGGAGGGGTGCAGGGTGCAAAATATTTTG